GCATTTTTACATGCTTTCAAACTGCTAGGTTGGCAGGAGCTAGGACAAGCAACGGGAGCTCACTCCGTCACGTGGATTCGAACTGCTGATCTTTTGACCTTGCAGCCCAGTGGCGTTGCAGTTTAACCCGCAGCGCCACCACGTCCCTGTGTCACTGGAAACCCTAATAACACACTATTCTACAGATGGAGAGCTCTGCCTGTGTTCAAGCAAATCTTAATAGCAACCCCACTCCAAGACCTGATCCCTCAACCTGACAATGGCAGGACAAGCAAGCGTGATCTTTCCATAAATTTACCACCTGAACAGGACTTTTGATCAGAGCTTGGAAAAGTTACTTTTTGGCTGGGGAGATTTTTCAGAATTCCATTCCCAAAAATAACTTGTCCAAGCTCTGCTTTTGATTTATGCCCATCTGCAGGTGTTGGCATCCACAGATTCTTTGATTTATGGTTGTCTGTAAAAGTTGTGAAAACAATAATGTTCTCTCACAGAAGTGTCTCTCTTAAAATTCCTTTCATGTGATGAAATCAGCCTGTTTAGTCTGCAGTAGTGCACAATAATATCCACATTTTCCAGAACTGGATCCACCTACCAATTTTCTTTAATTTTAGTGATCAGGAAACTGTCATTTTCTTGACCACAATGTGCCCCTTGGGGTGTTTTGTATCTTTTATCCCATGGTCCTTGCAATGATCATAATTAGAGCTACCTAAGTATCGTACAAGGATACCCAGGGTGGTGCTGTGAATGGAGCCGTGGGTTCGAGTCCCCACTCAGCCATGGAAACTCACTGGAGGTGTGGAACTCATTAAATATCTCCTGTACTTTGAATGCCCTGTTAAGGTTGCTGTAAGTCAGTTCCAGTGTGAAAGCATATAACAAGTATTAGACAACTGGTGTGGTGAGTGTATAATACGCTATACACAGGCCTATTTATTGTCCCCGGATGTTGCTCAGACTTCATACCAGTTTGCATCATAGCCTACTGGGAAAAAAGAGATGATATGCTATTGAAGGGATATAGAAGCAGCCATGAAGAGTAGGTGACTGGGAATATTCTTTGGTTGGCTACACGCAGAGGCTCCCTCTTCTCCTGTGTGATGAGATAGAGTCTAGCTGTGCAGAGGGATTTGATTTTTATGGAAAATTACTTTTAAAAAACTCTTTGATCTATGCATCAGAGCTCCTGAATTGTGGTCAAGGGTCCTACAAAGCCTAGAGTAATGTAGTAGTTAAGACTTGGGAGATCCAGATTCAAGTCCTCATGAAACTCACTGAGCAGGGAATAAATGTAGCTAGTAAATGAGAATGATAAGGAGGTGAAGGAGAAGATGTGTTTGCTGAAATACAAGAGAGTTCATTTTTTCAGAGGGGCTTTTATCTACTCAAATGAATCTTATTCGATTTGATTGGTTAAGGAATTCACTACCTTTATGTCCAATTGAAATTACTGTTTTGAATCACTGCCCCCCCCAACAAACATACCTGATTGTTTTTGCTGGACAATGTGCCTCCATGTTGTAGCGAGCATCACTACAACAGTGAGGCTGTTTATCCTCCACCATGTATGAAGGGGGAATATAAAATGTGCTGTATCGAGGAATACCCAAGGCTATGTACCTACTCTTTTAAGTAGAGTCTGGCCCCATCTAGACTAGACTGCACACCTAGTTCCAGCGTACAAAAAACAAACACAAAAACGTACTACCAACAGGGCACACATCTCGTCAAGATTCAGCTTCAATCTATTGTGCCTTATCCAGCACTAGCATGTTAATACCCTGTTTTCCCCAAAACAAGACCTAACCTGAAAATAAGCCCTAGTATGATTTTTCAGGATGCTCATAATATAAGCCCTACCCCCAAAATAAGCCCAAGTTAAGTGAAAGCTCGCCCTCTACCACTGTGCAGCAACCAGAAGATGACATGACTGTATTTGAATCAGTGTAGATTGTTGTACATGAAAAAAATAAAACATCCCCTGAAAATAAGCCCTAATGCATCTTTTGGAGCAAAAATTAATATAAAACCCTGTCTTCTTTTCGGGAAAACACGGTAGGTGTGATCACATTACACTGTTTGTAAGAAAGTTTCACTGGTTATCTATTTCCTTCTTGTTCCAGTGCAAAGCGTCATGCCTTTACAGCCATAAACAGATTGGGAACTACATATCCAAAAATAATCTCTATGCTAATCTGCCCTGAGAGAGAGTAATTCCTGTTTGTTATGTGACAGCTAGGAAAAGTCTTCTGTTTTATGATGCCTGTTTTTAGGAACATCCTCTCCACCGAGGTTTGATTGGTGCTGAACCTTTTTGTTTGTCTGGGCATTTACAAATTGGTCTGTTGTCTTTTTTTTAAATTGCTATTTTATGGTTGTATTTTATTTTGTTGTTGTTGCATTTTGTGGTTGTAGAACCATTTTTGTTACATTTATTGTTCATTGCTTTCCCACCTTTCGATGAAGGATGGTTTATAAATATCTTAGTAAATAAGTAAGCGCAAAGTTTATTTACTGAAAGTAAATGAGATCTGCCAATCCGTCCCTTTAGAAAATGTAGCTGATCAAAGTCGTCTTGCGTTTCTGTATTCCATTAACATCTTTTGCTTTTTTTTCTTCCTCAGAGCTCTACAAACTGTTCAGCTGGGATATGCGGATGTCTTGGATTATCTTGTTAGAAACCAGAAGCTGGATCTTGGTGTTGTTGATAACAAAAACAGAAATCTTTTATTTTTAGCCACTATATATGAGCAGTCTAAGATTCTGGACTATTTCCTTGAAATGGTCAGTTGTGTAAATTTCATTTTATTGACTTTTGTAGATTTTTTAAGATTTTGTTTTACATTTTAAGGCTTGAAAGATGTTTCAGACTGCACTTCTGTGTAGCCTTTGCATGGACACAAGCTCCATGGGACACGATAGTTATTTCTGTGGAGAAGATGCACAGAATTGGTAAAATTGGTTTTTCGGTGTAAATTTTACTCATTGAGTGAGGCATCTGGATGCAGAGCAGCCAGAGGCTGGCAGTTCAGTTCTCCACTATGCCTCCTGCGAATACAGCCAGCCTGTGTGGTCTTGGGAAAGCTGGGAAGCCCCCAGAAAAAGGAAACAATAAACTTATTGCACAGTCCCAGGAAGCCCCCAGAAAAAGGAATCAATAAACTTATTTTAAGTACTCTGTACCTAGAAAACCCTGGAATGGGTCACCATGTCAGAAGCTACTTGAGGACATGTAATTACTATTATTTTTACAAGAGAAAACCATGTTAGTCTGTGCTATATCAGGCAAACACAAGAGAAAAATAAACACATAGAAGACAAAAACGTGGCATCTTAATGACTGATTGCTATATGAGCTTTCATGGACAAGTTCACTTACTCTGAAAGCTCAAAGTAAAATATAGCAGTTAGTCTTTAAGGTGCCACAATGTTTTTGTCTTCTTTTTTTATTTTTATTTTGTTTTTTCCTGATCTTTTGATTCTGTAAGCCCGTTCATTGATTCATTTATTCCATACCTTTCTCTAAATAGCTCCTGTGGTTTAGCCACAGCTTGGAAATACTACTTTTGGGATTATGGTTTGCATAATTCCACAGCAGGCATGTCCAATGTCCAGGATGCCTGGGAAACTCCGGGACTTTGTAGTGAAGAAATAGAATATTCCATGATCTGGATGCCGGTTGAGCTAAGAGATAAATGGGTTGGATACAAGTTCAGCAATACTTAGAGTACACCTGTTGGTATCATGAGCTCTACCATACCAACTGATCAGCCTAGTATCTGGGAAAATGTTCTCTTTAAGGGAATCATGGGGCTGGATCTGTATGACGGCCTCTTGAAAATAATTATAAATGGCTAAGGCTTACTTCATGGATGGTAAGAGAGGTTTTACATCTATGTTGCTCCAAGATTGTACAGTACATTTCCCACTTTCTGTTCAATCTGTCCTTTTAAACTCTTTTGATAATTATTATTGTACATTCAAAAGCTCTTACGATGTTTGTTAGTTGGTCTGAGCACTATTGTGTTAATGGAAAGCTGGGATAAATGTGATAAATGAATACATGATGCATATGATCCCAAACATGGGACTTACTCATTTTATCTGGAGTGGACAACTTGTGGTTCTCCAGGTGTTGTTGGATTTCAACTGTATTAATCCTAGACCAGAGAAGAGTTGGCACAAGGAAAGAAGAAAAAGAGAGGGTAGCACAGAGAGAAATGGGAAAGGGTGGCACGAGAGAGAGAGAGAGAGAGAGAGAGGTGGGGGTGAGACAGATGCTTACTTTTGTCAGTATTTCTTCCCAGTGCCAACTCTGACTCCACTGAGGGTAGCACAGAGAGAAATGGGAAAGGGTAGCACAAGAGAGAGAGAGGGGTGGGGGCGAAACAGATACTTACTTTTGTCAGTATTTCTTCCCATTGCCAACTCTGACTCCACTCATCATCAACATGCAGTCCCTGAAAGATTATCCCATAAAATACCACTCTCAACAGAAAAGGGGGACTATACCCCCAGGTTTGATGTCACTTTAGCCAATCTTTAAATCTGCTTTGATTGGTGAACTTTATTTCCTCCTGATTTTTTTCCTATCTTGCTCTTTTGTTCTAGGCACCTCCTATACCTGATATAAACCAAGCCGCAGAAAATGGAAACGCACCACTTCATGCTGCAGTAAACACTGGAAAAATGCATCTTGTATCTTTGCTTTTGCACTACCCTGGAATTAATGTGAATGTCCAGAATTCGCAGTGCGACGGGGCAACTCCACTACATCTTGCTATTGTTTTTGGTAATATTTTGGATGTTTTTGTCTCTTGGGTGTTGATTTTATGACAATTCTGTTACAGTATTTATATTGAACACCTGGAACATTTTTCATCATTCTTCTGGAGTCTTTCAAGTCACCACTGCCTTTTAAGAAAAGTTTATTCTGTATATTTATGTATTCATTCTCATGAATTGTTACCTGCCTTTAAGACCTCTTGACAGGCGAAAAGGCAGGCTGTTAATATTTTAAACAGTGACACAGTGACAAAGAAGCAAATAGGTGTTTTGCCACTTTTCGTTAGGGCCAAATTAGTTGAGTTATTGAAGATCCGTGATCACACAGAATCAATCTGGTGTTGCAAATGAATAACTCTGATTGGGACATTGACAGTGAGATTTATGTAATAGAAGAGGGGCATAGATTTCTGGTATCATGTACTGTAATTGTGCCAGAAGGACTGTGTGCACTGTACAATTGCAGAAGTCAGACGCCATTTTAACTGCCATGCCTCCATCCTAAGGGATCCTGGGGTTTATAGTCTAATGGGATACATGGAATTTTCTGCTGTAGTTTAGGCTAATGTACTACAGGACTCTAAGCAGTTAATTTTAAGTACCTCGACAAATTTTAAATCTGAGGATTCTTTAGGATACCGTCATGCTACTCAATGTGACATTAAACTCTTCTAGCTATATAGTACGTGTGCACCTTTAGTACGAGTATAATTTTAGACAGCGCTTAGTATGGTGTACTGGATAGACTGACTAGAACCCAGGAATTGGTTCTGATTTGACGGCACATAACAACACATCATTATAGATACCACAACTGCTTTCTTTGTCATTTACTGCAAGGGAAGGAGAAGTCAAGCGCATTGATAATTAAATAAACCTCTCATACTTGTAGGTGGTCCTGTTTGACTTGCAAAATTATTATGTATGTGCTATACCAGACATACCTGCATGTTTTTGAAAAGCTGGAAGATCTTGTCTTCCCCATGATATGTTGCTGAAGTTCTACTGCTCAATTCATAATAAAATTTTGAGTTAGAATAGGTGTTTTAATATTTGCATAAATGTGTGCTAAAATACATAATAATGTGTTCCCTATTGCCATGTTTTAAGTTTTAATTGTACATTTGAAATCTACTAAGAACCCCCCCTCTTTCTAATCTGCCCATCTATTTCTCAGCTACCTTGGAAGTGATTAAGAACATTTATGAAACCCTTGTAACTGAATAGACAAAATCCAATGTCTTGGAAGATCTAGAGATGAAGGGACCTAAGATCTGAGCTATGTAGCAAATTGTTATGTTGAAACAGATGAAGCAGTATTGCTGAATACTTTCTGTTCATAAAACTTTAATAGAAGATGTATTCTCGAAGGCTTTCACAGCCGGGAGCTGATGGTTGTTGTAGGATTTCCGGGCTCTTTGGCCGTGTTCTGGAGGTTTTTCTTCCTAACGTTTCACCAGTCTCTGTAGCTGCCATCTTCAGAGGACAGGAGTTACAACCCACAGAGTTCTAACTCCTGTCCTCTGAATATGCCGGCTACAGAGACTGGTGCAGCGTTAGGAAGAAAAACCTCCAGAACACGGCCAAAACAGCCCAAAAAACCTACAACAAGCATTTAATAGAAGGCTTTATATCTTTGCTATGGAAAGGCTCAGTGATGATAGTAAGGTTTTGCAAACTTACGGTTTGCAAAAAAGAGGACAAAGGGGAACACAGATTTGTACATATTTTGTATGTGCTAGTTATTCTGTCAGATAATCCTATTAAATGCACTAGTGGTTCCGCTAGAAATAAGGTGAGGAGCAATAGATATTGGAATTAATGGTGAGAACCCCAGTCTTATGGTCAGCCTTTATGTATGCTTATGTATCCTAGAACCCTGTGAAGCTCCAGGAAGTGCTTCCAAATAAGGTGACCAATTATGCACTGCAAATAAAGAGGATGCAAAAGGAGACTCAGGGTGTGATCAGAAAGCAGGAAAGGTGTATGTCTGATTGCACTGGAAAAGGTCACTTTGCAGGAAGTGATCTCCCTTAAAGCTACCTATCCATCAGTTGAGGAATCACATCAGCCCAGTCCCCAAAAGATGTAGCCCTACAGCTTGAATCACATCAGCCCAGTCCCCAAAAGATATAGCCCTACAGCTTGATTAAAAAAGTCCAGCTTGGGCATGGATCAACATTGGTCTGGAGTGCAATACCCCATCACTGGAAAATAGATTATACTGAACATCTTTGAAGAAAGATAGTAATTTATAGATTCCATAAGCTCACTGGAGAAGAGGAAGGCTATAAAGTGCATGTAACAAATAACAACATGGACAGACGAATATTCTGACTAAGTATGAGCAGAATCATATTATGGTAGAAAATACTTCAATAGCAAATCATATCTTTCTCTTTCTTTTCTGTATCTGTTCAGGGCATCTGGGAATTTGCTATTTATTGCTGAATGCTACTGCGGATGTCGAAAGCCCCATGGGAAGGCTGACACCTTTGCAACTTGCTGAAATATTTGGTAATGAAACTATAATTGGCCTTATAAAAATGTACATAAGGAAATTAAAGCTACAAAATAAAGTGTTTGCCTGATGAGCTTCACTGAAGAAAATTCCACAAAACCTTTTTTTAAAATGTACTTATTCAATCTCTCGCTCAATTGCTGTCTTGCTCTATTTTGTATTAAAGATTCCTTGCCCCCCAAAACTTTGGAAGTTCTGGTGCTTTCTTCTTTAAAAGTACGATATTTTGTTCTAGTGGTACAAAATGCTTTAATTGGTCTTTTGTTTTGATTTTAATTTTTAAATCTAAAGCTGCTCCCCAATTTCTTGACTTTCTGGTTTTAGGACGGAGTGCATTAGAAGAGACAAACTTGTGTAGAGAAAACAAGGATCATGCCATTCCAGAGTGAATAATGATGAGTGGTCTAGTGCAGGGGTCTCCAAACTTTTCAGTATGAGGGCCACATCGTATATTTTACACAGTTTCAAGGGCTGAAGGAGGGAAAGGGGACCCAAGCGATCCCCTACCCCCCACTGTCTTTGTAAAGACAGCAGGGGATGTGGGGTCGCTTGGGTCCGCTTTCCCTCCTCTCCCTATGCCTGGGCTGGATGAAAAGGCAAGGTGGGACGGATGTGGCCCATAGGCCATCATTTGGAGGGCCTTGGGAACTACCATATTTTTCCATGTATAAGACCATACTTTTGTCTAAAAATTTTAGACTAAAATTTAGTGTCCTCTTATACATGGAAGTAAGCTGAGGAGAGAAAAAAACCAAGTGGAAGGAAAAGCAGGGATCAAAGTGATCCTGCAGGGCTTTGATCCCTGTTTTCCCGTCCACTTGCTAAACCTTAGCAAAAGGAAAGCAGGGATCAAGGCACTCCAGGATGGCTTTGATCCTTGCTTTCCCCTCTGCTTACTAAGTCCCATGGGGCTTAGCAAGTGTAGTGGGAAAGAATCAAAGCAATCCTGCAGTGCTTTGATCCCTTTCCCCCTATACTTGCTAAACCCCGATTTCTTAATTAATTTTGGGTTAGAAAAATCGGGGCATCTTATACATGGGGCCGTCTTATACACGGAAAAATACGGTAGTGCTCACAGGAGTCTCATTATCTGGGAACATGAAATATTTGAGCATGTTGGGGGAAGAATGTCTGAGGAAATGGGTTTTGATCTCTGAAAGCTCACACTGAGATAAATCTGTTAATCTTTAAGGCGTCACAATATTTTGTCCTCTCTTTTCACATTCTCCTTTTCTTTTCTTGCCAAAATGTATAGATCCTGCAGTCCTTAGTAATGCATTCAAGAGCTTTGCTTTACAAAAATATGCATAACCTAGTTTTCAAATCTTTATCAGAGTTGTTTATCATATTTAGATTAAAAAAGAGAATATATGAAAAACTGTGCTTGAGTCTATCAAAGATTGATCTTGTCCTACATATGTTTTTAGATAAGAAGGTCTCTGGAAAACCATAGGTCTCTGGAAAATTCCCAAGCAGGACAGGACAACAGAACTACCCTGTGCCCCAATTCGTCAGCAAGTGCCACTGCCTAGTGTACTTCCTCTGATATGGGACATAATACAGTGGTGCCTCGCTTAACGAGCGCACCGTATAACGATGAAATCGCATAGCGATCCGTTTTTTTGGATCGCTAATGCGATCGCTCAACGAGCTTCAGATAGGGAGAATTTCGCTTTGCGAAGATCGGTAAGCGTTTCGCTTACCGATCTTCGCAAAACGAAGCTCCGACGATCAGCTGTTTGATGGACAAAATGGCCGCCGGAAGCCTCAAAATGGCCGCGCGCAGCATTTTTGCGCCCTCCCCTCGCTTAACGAGGGCGCGAAAGTGGCTGCCGGCCATAGGAAACCTCGCTGAACGGTGAGTAGAGGAGCCTTTTGGAACGCATTAAACGATGTTTAATGCGTTCCAATGGCTTTCCCTGCCCCGTTCAGCGATGTTTCGCTATAGCGAAGGTTAATCCGGAACGGATTAACCTCGCTATGCGAGGCACCACTTGTACAATAATGAACAGTAACCTCTTTCTAACATGGTCCAATTTGCCAGCTACTGTTATGGCAGTTTAACTATGCAAACCAGCCCATGTATATAGCACAGCTATCATAATAACCATGGAACTTGGTTACAAGCTGCAAAAAGAAAAAAGAAAACTACTGGCACTCCAAAATGGAAAATTCGGCTGTAAAGAAAAATAAAGAAATTACATGCAGACATTAGCAAATACCTGAAAGATTCAAAACTTAAAAAGTAGAAGTCAGACTATGCAAAATATACGAGCTAAAAAGAAAAACAATTGTTGAAACGATGGAAGAACTGAAACAATGGGCAACAGCTACAGCAAAGAAAGTTGAAAGATATGATGGACACTTGAATCAATATAGAGAACACAGGCAATTTAGAAATAACTAATAAATATTCTATACATCACTAGGAGAAAATGCAGAGCAAAAGAAATTAGGCCCATGTAAAGATGATGCTCCAAGATTTTGGAAAGAAATTTGGGAAAACAACACCAGCAACCAGAGTCTTCCTCCATATAGGTTAATTGATGATGTTAGAACTGCAGAGCTGGAAGGGACCCTAGGGGTCATCAAGTCCAGCCCCTACCAAGGAGGTGCAGTGGGAACTGAACTCCCAACCTCTGGTTCCACAGCAGGTACCCAAACCACTGAGCAGTTCAGCAGGTCAATTAGAGATGACTTGAAGTTCTAGAGAGTTCCAAAGAGGAAGAAAAGTTCACCCCCGCCCACTTTCTTCCCAACCACACACAACACTGTTCACCTCTAAGCAAAAAAGCCTCAACGCTTATTGTCTTTCCTCACAAGAAAGTTGCTCCTATTCTAGGTGCCATTTCCCTGCATCTTTCCAAGGTCTTATTTTATTTTTTTCCTCTTAGATTATGTGTGCCCGCATAGTCCAGGATTTAAGTTTTCTCCACTTGAGCCAACAGAAGTAAGAGAAAAATACAACATATTAGGCGAAAACGGAAAAAAATACTGAAGACAGAACTGTTGAAGCACCTTAAAGACAACTGGTATATTTTAACTGCTAGTCTAGGCATCTGACTGCAGAGTCAGAGGTTGGGAATTCGATTCCTCACTGGGCCTCGTTGACAAGGGCTGGATTCAATGATCCGTAGGGATCCGATTCCAGCACTGCAGTTCTAAAAGCATTGTTGTTGTAGTTGTTGTTAATGTGAGCTTTCGTGGACAAGTCCACTTCCTCAAGCTCAAATTTAGTCAATTCAATCTTTATAAAATATAGCAGTTAGTCTTTAAGGTGCCACAGTATTTTTGCTGCCTTTATTTGGTATTTTCCTTTGTTTTTGCCAGATATGCTGGCACAGAGTAATGTGTCTACCTCTTCTAAAAATACAACAGTCATTGTAGTAACTTGGAGCGGAGAATAATTACCCATCGTGAATACCTGTGTATAGATCAAATTGCCGTAATACAGAATTTAGCTGGAATGAGTTTGAAATTAGCCAAAAGGGCTCCATCACATCTCCGTTTCCTTTATGCAAGTAATGACTTCAGTGGATCAGTTGTGAACCAGACTGTATTCTTCATCATGCTAAATATGCGATTCTACTGCTCTGCGTTGATTTGTTTGCCAGCACTGATGAGTATATAAATCCTTTTCTGATGACAAAGAAGCTGTAAGGTCAGTGCCAAATCCACCTCGGCTCTTGCACTATAAACTACTGTGGGATTTCATCAAGTATTTATTTGACTCCAGTGTATGCACTGATTTCCTCCTTGGAAAAAGCTTTCTCTTTAGGGATTTTAAACTACATAAATTTTTATTTTTGTTTTTTAAACACCAAGATGACTAAAAACAATGTTTCTTTCTCGCATGAAAAAATTAAAAATTGAAAAACATAAGAGGGCCTTTAATTTTTCTTATTTAAAATAAAAATACATTAACCTATGTTGAGTGACTTATGTTGTGCAGTTGTTCGGTGCTATGAGTTAATGTTTTATTCTCTTTATGGATGCTTTATGATCCTTCAGTATTATTTTTAAATGTTTACTGGAAACCAAGCCTAGGACTCACACCACCATTATAAATTAGCAACTCAATAACATGTATATTTTATGTTTATATTTTAAGATTGCCTTGGAAATATATATCATAAGAAGTTGTATTTGCTTTTTATAAGTGTACAAAGGAAGGGTTGTTAAATTGTCATTTCCTTCCTCTACAAGAGAGACATCTGGCTAATTAATGAAAACTAGTTCTTTCATCATATTATGAGTTTGACTTCTCTATTAGTATTAATGAGACTACTGCTGTGTTTTGCCTAAAAAACTCCATAGCTGACTTGGGATATAACAAAAAGGCTTTAATAGCCCTTAATGGCCTCATATTTTTGCCAGCATTTGGGATGTGAGTGTTCTGAGTATTACAGTGGTTTGGTGTGGAATGGGATAAAGTAGCCACTTCTCAATTTAGAATATAAATATCATGCACATATAATAATAATAACCTGACAACATCAGAGCTGATATATGCAGATGATTATGATAAACTGCAAACTATTAAGGCCCATCTGCTACACACAAGATTTGACTGATTTTGCCTCTCAGGGTTCTTCAATTCTACCCAGGTTAAGTACTGATTGGGGGGGGGGGAGATGAAAGAGATTAGAGATGATTGAAAAAGTACAAAGTCCAGAGTTTCTTATTTTATGTGACTGGAAAAGCCCTTTTCATATTATGGAAAACACCCTTAAACAGCTATTTTTATGTTTTTGTACTGTACAACAACTGTCATGAATACTAAAACTTTATCACTATGTTTGCATCACATATCAAAGTTGATGGATAATAGGCAACTTAAAATGGAACACTGAAATGAAAAATCAACCCACTTTTTATTCTAAGACTTAGAATCTAGGTCACCAACTTGTCCTACATTTACAATACGTTGGAATACTTTTAATATTTGCAAGAGGTTAGTTGGGTATATCAGTTGCAATTTTATATAGGAGCTATAATGCAATAGGATTGTTTTGTTTTATAACTCAGCTTTAGTACCTGGTTTGAGGAAGGTCTTGGAAAAGGTACAGAATGGGGGCATTAAAAGGATATGAGCCATAGCACTTAAAGTCTATTTAAAATCATAACATTGACTCTCTGAGTATCAGTCCTCATACAGTGGGTTGCGGGGGAGATAT